TTTTTTCTCTGATCCAGGAGTCTCATGTCTTCTGCCAGCATTCATGAAACTGTGACAGACTAAATAGTTAGCTTGCAAGGAAAGATATCAGCCCTTTCAGAGTTCTTTAGAACCAGAAGCAACAAGTTTGTTGCTATTGCTGGGATATCAGAATCAATAGCAATGACTTCCAGAACAAGCTTGACCCACATTGTTGAACCCATTCACAGGCTCAATGCAGGCCTTCATGGATACCTTATCCAAGACCTATTTGAGAAGTTTTGTTTCCATATATAGCACTTCTAGTTAGGTTTCAGAAAACCTACGTTCATGGCTAAATCAATCAATAACCCCTAACAGCTCAGATTACGTGGTTATCTACCTTCTCTGATTAGATATTCAGCATTTTATAAAAGAATTGTCCATTTCACAAAAGAAGTTTAATTACTTGCTAATTCTCCAACATTTAAGGAGCTCCACTGTGATTTTTCCAATCAGGGCTTATCCAAGGCACTGTAGAGTATCCCAAAATGTCAAATAACAAAGTATTTAATAACTTAACTGTAGCCTGGAACCGCTGGAGAACTGTTAGGGAGATTAATACCTCTCCATCCCAACCCCACCCCCAAGATAGTCACATTCTAATCCCCAGAACCTGTGAATAAGTTAGCTACATGCCAAAGGGGAATTAAGGGAGCAGATGGAATTAAGGTTGCTAATCAGCCGACCTTAAAATAGGAAGATCATCCAGGTGAGCCCAATACAATCACAAGGGTCCTTACATATGGAAGAAGAAGGCAAAAGAAGAGGCAGGGTGATGATGCGATGCGATGCGATGCGATGCGATGCGATGCGATGCGATGTAGATTCAACTGGTTATTGCTGGCTTTGACGGTGGATGGGAGCCACAGACCAAGGAATATGGGAAGTTTCCAGGACTGAAAAAGGGCAAGAAAACAGATTCTCACCTCCTACAGCCCTCAGAAAGGAACATAGCTCTGCCAAGACCTTGATTTTAGCCCTTAGAGACTTAGGTCAGACTTCTGACCTACAGAGCTGTGTGATAACAAATATGTGTTTCTTTAAGCCAATGAGTTTATGGTAATTCGAAACAGCAACTACAGAAAACTAATGCAAGAATTTCTCATGTTCTGTGGTCTATTCAAAGCTGGTAGTAAAGACCAACGAACAGGTCAAGACAGGACAGTCAATGTGGGTGTGATGACGTCTCCAGACCCTCCAAGATTTGCTCCTCCTGTTAGTGGAAACCATCTGAAATGCTTTCCTTCATGTGAAGTCTGGTGAGACTTGATAATTCAGCAACAGCAATATCTATCCCTGAGTTTGGTTTTTGCAATCTCAACCCTGTGGCTTCAAGTGAAATAAGATTCTTTTACTATAGTCAACTGATTTTCCATTACTGGTTGTCAGTTAACATTTGTGTGTATGTTTGTGTGTGTGTGTGTGTAGCCATAGAAGCTACTCCAGCTTAAGCCAAAAAAGGAATCTATTGGAAAAAAAGCTGTGTGGCTGATAGAGTTAAACCATAAGGCATCTGTAGGGACAGGAGCTACTTCCATTCCTTTGAACGACAAATTCCTCCACTTCTTCGCACTCACCTCACAGGCCTATTTTGAGGATCAAATCAGAGGCTGCAGTGGAGAGAAATGTGTCAGAGAGATGGTGAAACCCTGTGCACCAGTGTTTTTCTGGTTACCACCTTCATTCAGACCTTTCATTAAAAGTTATTTCGAGCATTGTGTAAGACAGTGTGGTGATTCCTCAAAGATCTAGAATCACAAATACCATTTGACTCAGCAATCCCATTACTAGGTATATACCGAAAGGATTATAAGTCATTCTACTATAAAGACACATGACATGTACGTTTATTGCAGCACTATTTACAGTAGCAAGGATTTGGAACCAACCCAAATGCCCATCAATGATAGACTGGATAAAGAAAATGTGACACATATACACCATGGAATACTATGCAGCCATAAAAAAGAATGAGTTCATGTCCTTTGCAGGCACATGGATGAAGCTGGAAGCCATCATTCTCAGCAAACACAGGAACAGAAAACCAAACACCACACATTCTCACTTATAAATGGGAATTGAATAATGAGAACACATGGACACAGAGAGGGGAAAATCACACCAGTGCCTTTCAGGGGGTGGGCCAAGGGGAGGGAGAGCATTAGGACAAACACCTAATGCATCCAGGTTTAAAACCTAGATGATGAGTTGATAGGTCCACCATGGCCCATGTATACCTATGTAACAAACCTGCACATTCTGCACACATACCCCAGAACTTAAAGTAAAACTAAAAAAAAAAAAGTTGACATGGGAGTATCCTTGTGGATAGACCTTGGGAATTCAAATGGAGGCTCAGAGCTCACATTTTCCAAGAAGCCCCGCCAAACTCAGATGCCTTCTTTCCTATGCCGGCACCCTCCCCACCGCTACCCCAAACCTCCAAAAGAGCCACACCATGGACTTCCCTAGTGCCCTGGACCTTTGGTCTAGTGATCAGAAAACTATTTATTCCATCCCAGCATTCTTCAAACTGGTAGACTAAGACACAGAGTGGGTTGAGGCCCCAAGGTAAGATTGGCCCCCGAGGCAGCCATCAGTATATTCCAAGGAGGCCACCAAGAGAAGCTGAGGCAGGATAGACATGAATGAGAAACACCAGATTTGCTACCTTATCACAACTCCCTCCAACACACCGCTCAGCCAGCTGTTGAGGATTTCAATAAGCCTGCTCTGCACTGAGCTCTGCAGGCATTATCTCATCTAAGGCCGTAACAACTCTTTGAGGTACTAGGTCCACATCAGAGACAATAACCAGTTTCTGGGAGAAGGCACTTCCCCAAGCACACACTACTTGCAAATGTCAGAGCTGGAATTTGAACCCTCACCATGCTAGACCTGAGGGTACAGGACACCTCACCCACCAGGGCACTATTTCTTTGCACAGTTCCCCCGCCAGCCTGTAGCTTTCGCTAATGCCCTCCTCTCTCCTGGGATGGAGCACTCCCAGCCCAGGTGTCAGTACCCCTAGGCGAGGCAATTGCAGCTGTTGTTAATTAGCAGGTATTTAACATCAGGGAGTCACTAATGCACCTGAAGTAGCTTGACAGCAAATAAAGTACTGAAACCCTGGCAGGACCAGCCTCCCCATGAGGCTGAAACATCCTTGCCTGCCGTCTCACTGATCTCATAGCAGGCCAGGGCTTTCTTATCTTTGCCCTTTCTATCCACTGAGATATGCAGGGAAAAGGAGAAAAAAAAAAATGCCTATCTCTGGCCAGGCGAGGTAGCTCACACCTGTAATCCCAGTACTTTGTGGGGGCCAAGGCAGGTAGATTACAAGGTCAGGAGTTCGAGACCAGCCTGACCAAGATGGTGAAACGCTGTCTACTAAAAATACAAAAAAAAAAAAAAAAAAGCCAGGTGTGGTGACGGGCACCTGTAATCCCAGCTACTCTGGAGGCTGAGGCAGAGAACTGCTTGAATCCAGGAGATGGAGGTTGCAGTGAGCCAAGATCGCACCACTGCACTCCAGTCTGGGCGACAGAGTGAGACTCCATCTCAAAAAAAAAAAAGAAGTCCATCTCTCTCTGTCCTCTGTCCTCTGATATTCATCTTCTTTGCCTGAGGCAGGTCTGCAAAGTCAAGGGCTAATTCTACAGGGGATAAATCCTTACATGTGAATTGGCCCCAGCTTTAGGCTGAGCCACGACCCTGGCACCACAAAACTCAATTTGTGCCTCCCAATATTCACATAACAAGGACAGGACTATCTTTTCCCTATTTTCACTGCCCTCCCTTTGGTGGGCTAGTTCAGTGGTGTAAGAGGCAGCTGAAAGGCACAAGAGGAGCTTTCCTGAGATCAAAGCTCCCACCTGCAGGTAACCCCAGCCCAAGAGAACCTTGCCTTCCCTCCTGACTCCTCTGGCCTTCATAACCCTCTTCTCTGAATGCCAGGGTACCATGCCCAGTGGCAACCAAGGAGTATCAGACAGCTCCTGGTTACCTCATCTCCCACAGAAAGTGTGCAGATTCTCCCCAACACACAAAAAGAAAGTGAAGGAATTTTCTCTGACGTTTCTGAGTGCCTAAACCCTCTAAGGTCTTCTTCATCATCTGGGGAACTCTAGAGATTTGACATCCCATTAAAAATATATCTTGAGGCTGGGCACAGAGGCTCATGCCTGTAATCCTAGCACTTTGGGAGGCTGAAGTGGGCAGATCACTCGAGGTCAGGAGTTCAAAACCAGCCTGGCCAATATGGTGAAAACCCATCTCTACCAAAAATACAAAAACAGCCAAGTGTGGTGGCACACACCGTGATCCCAGCTACTTGGGATTGGGAGGCTGAGGCAGGAGAATTGCTTGAACCTGGGAGGCAGAGGTTGCCGTGAGCCAAGATTGCACCACTGTACTTCAGCCTGGGTGACAAGAGAGAAACTCCGTTTCAACAACAACAAAAAAAGGTGAATATGGTCAATTGTATGTTTTGCATATTTGAGCACAACTAAAAACACATTTCCTGCATAAATTTTATGAAGAGCCACAGCTATCAAGTGGCAGGGACGAGCACAGAAACCCTGAGATTGGTGAATCATTTTTGGATTGGCAGAGGAGACCAGAGCAATGGGAGAACACCAGGTCAGGAGTCAGGTCCTGGGCAGTGGTCCAAGCCCCGCCAGCTGGCCCACATACCATCCTGGGCCTGTCTTTTTTATTCACTGGTTTTTCTGGGCTCTAAAACCAAATCAACAAATGCCTTCAGATTCTCTGATTCTGAGTGTGTCTCTGTGGTCACAGAACACCATTAAAGATGCCAAGAGCAGGCTCACACAGGGAAGTGTAAACTCTCTCATTCCTGGCCCAGCATCAGATAGAGAGAACGAGCTACTAATTCAGACAGAGGTGCCAGGTGCCAAGAGGCACCCTTGGTACTCCCCGCCTGCAGAGACAATAATGGTTTATGACTCTGAACTCACCGGAAGGTTAGCTGGGTCAAAGCAGCAACTTGAGCGTTTGTTTAGATGTCTGTCCAAGAATCTCTCAACTTGCTGCTGGAAGATAATGAGTTCTGAGCCACGCAAGAGTCAAGCGCTCTGTGAATTTGACACAATCTGCTCTTTGATGAGAAATCCATGCATATTAATCACTAAAAAGCGGGGGGGAAATGAAAAGCACCATCGTTCGCTTGGAAAATGTTTACTGAGCACTACTGTGTGCTAGACACTGTTCTGGGCACTGGATATAAGAAACAAGGGTAAACGGAAGAGATACGTCTCTGCCCTCAAAGAGTTTTGCATTTTAATGGTGGATTCCCCAAGCATGGATGGAAGAGTCAGGGAGGAAAATAACACAAGGGAAGGGGGTCAAGAGTATTGGGAGTGCCGCTCAGAAAAGGCTCACGCCTGAAATCCCAGCACTTTGGGAGGCCGAGGTGGGCAGATCAAGACCAGGAGTTCAAGACCAGCCTGGCCAACATGGTGAAACTCTATCTCACCTAAAAATACAAAAATTAGCTGGACATGATGGTAGGTACCTGTAATCCCAGCACAATGGGAAGCCAAGGCTGGTGGATCACTTGAGGCCAGGACTTCGAGACCAGCCTTGATCACATGGCAAAATCCTATCTCTGCTAAAAATACAAAAATTAGCCAGGAGTGGTGGTATGTGCCTGTAATCCCAGCTACTTGGGAAGCTGAGGCAGGAGAATCACTTAAATCCTGGAGGTGGAGGTTGCAGTGGGCCAAGACTGCACCACTGCACACTACTCTGAGCTACAGAGTGAGACTCCATCTCAGACCAAAAAAAAAAAAAAAAGGCAATCAGGAAGGTCTCTTTGACTGCATGCTGATGCTCATCGCAGTGCTCATTATAGTAGCAAAGACCTAGAATCAACCCAGGTGCCCATTGAAGTGGACTGGATATAGAAAATGAGGTACATATACACCATGGAATGCTACACAGCCATGAAAAAGAATGAAATCATGTCCTTTGCAGCAACATGGATGCAGCTGAAGGCTGTTATCCTAAGTGAATTAACACAGAAACACAAAACCAAATACCGCAAATTCTCACTTACGACTGGGAGCTAAACACTGAGTACACATGACATAAAGGTGGGAACAGCAGAAAGAAGAGACTCCAAAAGAGGAGAGGAAGGTAAGGGAAGGAGGCAGGGCTAAAAAAATTCCTGCTGGAGACTATGTTCACTATTTGGGTGACAGGATCAACACAAGCCAAAACCTCGGTATCACACAATATACCCTATGACAAACATGCACATGTATCCCCTGAATCCAAAATACTACCTTTTCTAAAAAAAAAAAAAAAAAAAATTTTGAAGCTACGCATCTACCAAAAAAGTTCTCTTGAGTAAGTGCTGTGAGCCAAAGTCTGAATGACAGGCAGGAGCAACCATGCACACAGCTGCAGAAGGAGCCTGTGGGGCAGAGGAAGATCAAAGGCATGAACCCCAAGATGGAATCCAGCCTGAATCAGCATCTTCCCCCAACGGCAATGAGCAGAAGTCTCCAAGGTATGCCAAAGGCCTTGAGCTGAGTGGGGTGACTTGGCAGAAGCAGAAGAGAACCCTTTACCATTACTGGTCTCCAGAGAAAGCTGTGGTCTGGATAATCCCCGAACACAAATGACCCCAACTACAGAGAAGAAAGAAAGAACTGGGGTGTGCCCCAGCAGGATTTCCCTGGGACGCAGCGGATAACACAAGCTTCCAGCTCAGCGTGATGGTCAACCAGGCATTCACTGGACACAGGAGCCACCAAGGCATTTGCCAGAACAAACAAGTTTTCTGGGTGAGGAACACTTTGGTCATGGGTCAGGCAACTAGGCGTTGGGCTGTCCTCCAGGTAAAAAAAGTATCTGTGAGAGGCACACTACAGACAGCCATGCCCAGCTCCCCTTCACTTCCCCTTAGGGCAGGATTGCCAGTGGCTCTGGTATTGGGATCCCAATTTAGCTGGGGGCTCAGGAGACACAGTCAGGGATTTAGGAATGACCTGTGCCGTCACCTCCCAAGGCCATACCTACCTCCCTGCTCACTGCTCTGGGACCTCAACAGCTTACTCTTTCCATGCACCAAGCTTATTCCCACTGCAAGGCCTTTGAGCAAGGGGTTCTCTGCCTGGAGTGCTCTCTCTTGCCCTCCTTCCACAGCCAAAACCCTCTGGTCATTCGGGCAAAGACTCAAATGGCTCCTCTTCAGGAGAGACCTCCCCCGCCCCACCCCACTCCACCTGACGGTTGCTCTTGGTGCAATACCTTACTCTGCTTTCTTCAGGGCACTTCCTCCATGAGATTGTCTGACTACAACATTTGTTACAGTTCGCATCCCAAGGGGACAGTGGAATCTACTGACGTGGGGCCTTGACAGGGACAGCACCTCCATGAGTATGCACAAACCTTAAAGCACAGCCGGCATGTTGGTTGACACTCAGGAAAGAGCCGACAGCTGGAAGGTTAAGACTGGAGGAGAGGGAGGAAGAAAAGGGGAAGAGGGGAGAAGAGAGAGGGAAGGATGGGATAGAGGACAGAAAGGAGGGAAGAGAGGAAAGAGGGAAAGAGAGAGAGAGATTTGGCCCCTGCACTTAAGGGTGACACAGACTATGATGGGAACAGATATGCAAACAAATAATCACAGTGAGGTACATGTGCTAGCTAACGCACAAACGGTAGAGAGGGCAGAATGCTTATGTATGAAGCAAGTCAGGGAGTACTTCAGAGAGGTGGTGTCACAAGAGTTGGTTCTGAAGGATGAATAGGAGTTTCTTGGGATGTCATGTCTAGGGAGAGTCAATTACACTTGGAAAAGCCAAAGGGAGTGAAACAACACGAGGTTATCAGGCAAGTACATGCGATATTGTCATAGAACAGGCAACTGGGGATGACTGCTGGAGAATGTACTGCGAAAAGCAGCAGGGCCATGTCTGAAAGGCCTTGAGTGCCAGGCCCAGGGCCTAGGACTTGATGCCATAGGTAACCAGGGAGCAACTGAAGTGTGTTACGCAAGCGAGAGACATGTGGCCAGATGTGAGTGGCAAGATTGCTGCAGGGCAGTGTGAAGGATTGTCTAGTAGAGTGACTATGACCTAATAGGGAGACTATTAGGCCATGCAAGGGTCAAGGTAAGACATGATGTCTTTGCTAGTGATAGTGGATAGAAAAGCGGGTGGGGAAATTCCAGAGATGTTTTAGGGGCAAAGGGGCAGGGCTTGGTGATTGAATAGGGGATGAGGGGGAAGGGAGACAGAGAAAAAAGCCTCTGTTTCTGGCTTAGGGGCCAGCGAGGTCACGACTGAGCTGAGAGCCCAAGACAGGAGCAGGTGAAGGTGAAGGTGATGAGCTCATCATGGACGTGCAGGTTTGAGGGTCTGTGGCAGGTACTGGGGAAAAGTGTCAGGAATGGGTGGCTACACAGGGACATGGGAGGAAAGGGCCCCAGCACGCTGCCCAGGCTTCTGAACAGGGAGGGCTGACCTAAAAGATTTTGCCTGAAAACCAAGAGAACGTGCTGAAAAGGCAATGACCTTGTCTCTTCCTGCTTCCACGGGAGAGTCACAGGTTGCTTGACCTTCTGTCTCTCTCTCTTTCTTGTCAAAAGATTCCATAACCTTTTATCTGCAGGGCTGAGGGAGGGTGAGTCCCATTATCTGCCTGTAGAAAGATTCTGGTATGTGACCCCATTCCACCTTCTGTGGGTAGACCTGCGTCCTCCTTCCCTTTACAAATGGAGCATTTCTCAGAATACAATGCTCAGGGCGTGGGAGACAATCGCAAGGCCTCGTCTGCTTCCCTCTTCCTCAACCAGAATCCTCCTTCCTCCTGCTACTAGATATGGGGGGTTCTGGTGCCAATGTCTCATGACACAGGCCAGCCACGGACAACAAGTATTTTCGGATTCCTTCCTGTCTTCAAATTCTGTGTCCTGGGCATGCACTGAGCTTCTGACCAGCCCTGCCTAAGGCTTCAATTCCCTGAGAAAAAAGAACTGTCAGAATGCCAGCCTTCCTTCCTTTCTCCACTCCAGACACCCACACTCCACTCCCACCCTTACACTCACTGGGACTGCCACACAACTCTAACCTTTCTCTGCTTAAATTCTGCCCAATGTCAAGAGCCCTCAGCAGTGCCACTGCCTCCAGGAAGCCTTCCACAATGCCCCAGGGTTTGCAACTCAGTCATACCCTGGCCTTGTGATTCTGTGGATGTTCCTCTTGTCTCCCTTCCACCCCTAGAGCCCTGAAACTTTGTCTGGTTCATCAGCATAAGGCTGGGACTGCCACACCAACCCCAGTACAATGCTCACAGCAGCCTTTCCTAAAGAGCCAACTGCTGATTGGCCAAATCAGAGACAGCAGTGGGATCCATGAGCCCTGCTGGTTCCCTCATACATTTAACGGGTCTTATAAATCACATAAAATTTTATAATTCCTATAAATTATGTTTTTATGAAGCATGTAAATCACCTGTAAGATACCACCAGTGGATATAGGTAATACCCAGAGAGATCTTGGTTTTTCTAAAAGAGATGAGATCCCCTCTGTTGGAAACAGATGCTCGGTGCCACAAAGAAAAAATAGCACTGAGACAAAGGATCTCTCAGCAAAGCAATTTTTACTTCCTGCACTGCAGGAAGGGTGCCCTCGCTAGCCATCTTGCCACAAGAGTACAATGAACAAAGGAAAAGCAGACATATTTATCCCTTATGCATTTGGGGTTGTCCTTACTGCTGTGTCTGATCCCCACTAGTTGGAGCCAGACCTTACAATCTAAGCTAAAACCTGATTGTCTAATAACTTAAAACTTTTCTAAACAGGCAAAAGCAATGGAAAAGTCCAAACAAGGAAGGGGCATAGGCTGCGAGCTGGGACATGCCTGTGAGCACGTCCAGCACAGATATCTTGGTTAAAGTACAAGGACATAGATTGTACTATGCGCCCATAACCATACCTAACAGCTACATAGGATAAGGCTTAACAAAGACTTATTAGCAAATTTATTATTTAACAAGAAAGGAAATTTTGAAGAGGAACTTTTACTTCCCATACCCTCCCTCATGGGTTCAGCATCCCTCACCCTGGCTGGGCACCAGCACACTCCTATTCAGGTGAAGAAAAAGGAGGCATTTACAATCAAGGATTGAAATTGTAGTAGAACAACATGCGTTAAAATGGCAGGTCTGCCTCAAACTAGCTGAGACTTTGAGCAGGACACACAAGAACTCCCGAACCCTCGGCTTCATCTTCTACAAAGTGAAGAAAGCGACACCTAACTCAGGGATCTGCCATAAAGATGGACAGTCTTGTCAATAATGAAGTGCTATATGCATTTTATGATCATGATTTCATTGGTTCCCAACTCTCTCGGGAGGTGGCACAGGAGTTTGGGCTTATGTCCCAGCACAGTGATATCGCTCAGTGACTTTGAGCGAGACCCAATCCTGGAGAACAAGTAAATGTTGAGGGAAAAACATGAATGGATTTGCGAGCAGGCCACGTCCTGGCTGTGGAGCTTGGGCAGCTTTCCTTACCTTTCCAAGACTCTGTGCCACCCACTATAAAGTGAGGATAAACAAGGGGAGCTGAAACTCCCTAAATAAGATGTAGCAGTGCAGGAAAGTACCCAGCACATTCTTCACTTGCAGACCATTTCTTCTTTTCTTCCAACTCCAGGTTTGCATTTCTATTAGTAAACTAAACAGATTGGATCAGCTGGTCCTGCAAATGGGGCCCTCTCCAGGATGTGAGTTCAAATTAGGTAACATGTGAGAATGGCTTTTAGGTAGGAAGTGCTGCGTGTAGATATGAGAAGAATTATTCCAATTATTCTGACCAATTGTTTCCACTTTGCCAGTAGGTGAAGGGGATGACTCACGTAAAGAAAGGGAGAGGCCAGGCGAGGTGTCTCACACCTCTAATTCCAGCGTTTTGGGAGACCGAGGTGGGAGAATCACTTGAGCCCAGGAGTTCAAGACCAGTTTGAGCAACATACGGTTACCCCATCTCTACAAAAAAAATAAACAAATTATCCAGGCATGGTGGCATGTGCCTGAGGTGGGAGGATCACTTGAGCCTGGAAGGTCAAGGCTGTAGAAAGTGGTGAGGGCGATTGTGCCACTGCACCCCAGCCTGGGCAACAGAGTAAGACTCTGTCTCAAAGCAAAAAAAAAGGGGGGGGGGTTGAGATGAGTATAAAAACCTGGTGGATACCACTTTAACAAAGACGAACTGACTTTACGTGTCTCCTGATAGGCTTTACTGAGGATACAGCATCAGTTCTGCAGGATTCTTGCAAAAAGGCAATCCTCAGTGTAATCGTGAACAAACATCAGACAAATGCCAGTGAGGAGACAGTCTGTAAAACAGCCAGCCAGTATTCTTCAAAAGTTTCCAAGCCATAAAAGATAGACAGAGGACTGTCCCAGACTGAAGGAAACAAAAAACTTTGACAACTAAACACAATGTGGACAACTGGCAAAACGTGAACAAACCATGTAGAGTAGTTAGATTATCATATAAATGCTAAGTTCCTGGTTGTGATCATGATACTGTGAGTATGGAAGACAATATAATTTGGGGGAGCTGGGTAAAGGTACAAAGGGACTCAGTACTATTTTGGAAACTTTGTTGTAAATCTAAAATTATTTTCAAATTTTAAAAATATTTTTAATTTTAAAAAAGAGGAGATTGATTCAAGCAAAGGAGATTGACTCACACCTCCCAGTGTCAGGAGTCAACATACCCAGGACCCTCTCCTCCACAACTCTATGAGACTCTGCGGTCATGGGGTGGGCTTAGGGAGAAGGGAGAGTCCTGCTTTCTTCCTAAATCAGGAGCTAAACTCTCTTAAGTCCCAAGGCCGCACTAGCCTTAGGTAAGTCTCCCCCAGAGACACTGACAGAAGCAGAAAACAGAAAATCAGGTCTAGTGGGGGTGTCTTTCCAACTCTCCCACTAGCACCTGTGGGACTCCAGGTTAGAGGAAGAGCCAACCAGGAGAAGCTCTCTGGTCCCAGGACCTGGACCCCAGCATCTCTGCCTGCATGGAAGGATCGCCTTAGGACATTCCTGCTTTCTCCTTGTAACCCCAGCCCCTGCACCCTTGGGTTCAGTGCACTCAACCTGCATTCTCTATATTTTCCACTTGGTACAATAGCAAGGACCTTATTGAACCAGCAAAAAATCTCTTGGACTCTTGCAAAATTGTAGTCAACCTTTTAGTATCTTTTCTCCGAGAAAATTCATACTTGCAAAAAAAAAAAAAAAAAAAAGCCAATGTATTCACCTTTCAAAAGTAATTCTGTACCTTACCCATCACAATGAAATGCATACATCATTAAGAAAAGCTGGTGTGTTTATGCCTACAAAGGAGCTCGGATTCTTAAAGACGCAAAAAAGAAAGGAAACCTCATGCGAAAATATCTCTTCTCCAGCCAACCCTGCAACAGTGATTTTTACCCCAGGACTCAGGACCCATGACCACAGGATCTCAGGACCTCAGAACACAGGACCCTTAGGATGCAGAACTTCAGAACCTCAGGACCCAGGACCTCAGGGTCTCAGAATCTCAGGACCTCAGGACCCATAGGACTCAGGATTTCAGGACCTCAGGATTTCAGAACCCAGGACTTCAGGACCCAGTACCTCAGGACCAAGTACCTCAAGACCTCAGAATCTCAGGGCCCAGGACCTCAGGACCTCAAGACCTTAGGATCTCAGGACCAGGTACCTCAGGAGATCAGGACTTAGGATTTGAGAACCTCAGCACCCAGGACCTCAAGATCTCAGAATCTCAGGACCCAGGACCCTCAGGACCTCAGGACCCAGGTTCCAGGACCCTCAGGAACTCAGAACCTCAGAATCTCAGGATCCAGAATCTCAGAACCTCAGGACCTAGAACCTCAAGATCTCAGGACCTTAGAAACTCAGGAATTCAAGAACTCAGGATCTCAGGAGCCAGAAACTTCAGGACCTCAGGATCTGAGGACTCCCAGGCCTAATAAAAGCTGAGCCACATCAAAGTCTGAGTCAAAGAAAATGTGCACCTGTATATACACTTATCAAAATATCTTCCCATCTTTTAAACCAAGTGGTATAGTTAATGCAAACTTTGCCATTAAATAACATGACTTCATATATACAGAGCTCTTCATTGCCCAATCTACTTTCCTGCCATTGTCCACCCTCATAAACCCTGCAAAGAGGAGAGCAACAGTGAGGCAGGCTGATCAGAATAAATTCTTCTCATTGCACAATGATGCAGGGCCACTAAACAGACAAACAACCGCTTGTCTTTATTTAACATTTGGATATTTTGTTTATCCTGGATTTGTTTGTGTTCATTTTGATTTTTTAAATACTGCATTAAAATATTATTTACCTTGATAATTGAGTTTTCAGGTGGTGGGCCCTTAAATTGAGTGCAGTATGTGAGTACCTCACTAGTCTTATTCTACCCCCACCCTAGCTAGCTCCCCATTCCCTTCCCACGCTCTTGTTCCCCTCTGCTGCCAGCTGCTCTATCTTCTTCCAGATGATGGATTTCTCCAGTGGTTGGAGAGAGAAAAGGCTCTCCCAGCAGCTGTCTGAAGGATTTCTCTGTCACTTACCTCCTCAGACTCTGAACAGGACTCTTCCAAGGAGATCTACAGGCTTCAGTGCTCTTCAATTCAACTCCAGGTTCCTGTGAGAAAAGATATTACATCATCTTCATTCACCACTAGCAATCTTCATCTGGAGCTGCCATGTTCTTAAGGGAAGACTACATTTCATCCTTCCTAGAGAGGTCTCTGGTCCTGTTCTCTGGGTTAAAGGTACAGAAAACCTGTTCATTTATTCTAGCCACCTTATCATGGAGATAGGAAAACTGGGACCTAGCAAGGGAAAGGGGCTTATCTGATGTCAAAGAGGGTAATCAGAGGTGAAGCCAGGGCTCCTGAACCTGAACAGGACAGGACAGACATTGTCAGCTACAGGCTCCACACACTAGTGGAGCAACAGGTGAGAAAGGAGCACCCTTAGCCCCACCACCTCACCCCAAAACTGGTCTCATTTTTCACTGGAGAAAACTCACACAGAATTGAAACCCTGAGCATCTGCTTACAGAGACCTGAATTTTAATCCTGGTTATATCACTTAATATCATGCAGTTTTCAGCAAGTGGATAAACCTCTGAGTTTCAGACACTGCATCTGTAAAATAATTTTGGTGTTCTGAAGACAGCAAAGACCAGTGGTTAAGCCCAATGTAGAAAGTAAAAAGTTCCTCTTCAAAGTTTCCCTTCTTGTTAAAGAATAATCATAATAAATGTTAGAAATAATAGTTTGTTTTAAAGACTTTCTTCAGAGCCTTCTTGCTTTTTGCTATTAACTCTTCATTAAGCCCCATCCTCTGTAGCTGTTAGACATGCTCACAGGCACGTAGTACCTTCTATGTCCTTGTACTTTAACCAAGATATTTATGCTGGACGTGCTCACAGGCATGCCCCAGCTCGCAGCCTATGCCCCTTCCTTATTTGGGAATATTATTACTTTTCTAAGTCCTTTTGTAAGCAACTTCCTCTTTTCCTTTGTTCTCTATTGCCTTTACCTATTTAGAAAAGTTTTAAGCTGTTAGCCAATCAGGTTTAGTTTTAGATTGTGAGGTCTGGCTCCAACCAATGGAGATCAGACACAGCAATAAGGACCCAATGTGTAATAAATAAATATGCCTGCTTGTCCTTTGTTCATTGTACTCTCATGGCAAGATGGCTAACAGGAGTACCCTTTCTGCAGAAAGTAAAATTGCCTTGCTGAGAAAACTTTTTGTCTGAATGCTATTTTTTCCTTGTGACATCTGGGAACAAGCATTCCATCTCTAATACCCAACAGGCCTGGGTTTGGACCAGAGCTGCCCCACTCAGGGCTGTGTGGCATGAGCAAGTCACTTGACCTCTCTTCACTTCCATTTCCTGTCGCATAAATCATTTTTATGCATATTAAGAAATCATTTCTTTACAACATTGTATCTTAAACATATTTGCATATTAATGACCTTTAATGGCCATAGAGCATTCTATTCACAGTGTATGTATGTCTGTATTAGCTAAATAAATAAAAATATATATAATGATTAAATATATTAAGGTATATATCGCTTAACCATTCATTCTTTTTTAATTCAACAGTGTTTACCCTACTGTGTACCAGATACTCCACTAGGAATGGGGGGTACAGCAGTAAGCACTACCTGCCAGATCCCTGACCTCAGGAAATGTACTTCCCTATATTCTCCATTCCCAATTCAGTCATGGTCAGCCCCTGTCCCCAGTTCTCTGCAACTGTTCTTCCCAGCCATCCTCAAGTTCAATGCATCAGAGTGTGTATCCCAATTTGGGGTTCTGAAATCAGGGCTTTGTGTGATCACAAATGACACTCCCAGCAACCATCAGCAAATGTCCTTCTTCTTTTTGGTAATTACCTTTGGATAAATTCTCAGGCGTGCAATCACTGCACCAAAGGCTGTGAGCCTTTTAATGACTCTTGATACATACAATCAATTTGTTTTCCAAAGGGGCTGCACCCAATTTACACACTGCCACCGGCAATGTGTGGGTACCATGCTCAGACCATGACAGTGTCAGACCTGGGTGTGATAATTATATTTCTTAATTTGTGCTAATTTAATAGGTGTAAAATTGCATCTCATTTTAATTTGCATTTCTTTGATAGTGATGAAGGTTGAACGTTTTCTCTAGTAAATATACACATGGACAGCTTGATCCATTTATTCATTCATTATATATTAACTCTGTCCTATACCCCAGACACTGCAAAGTGCCAGAGACTCAGATATACATAGAACACAGGTCCCACCTTCAAGAACCTTATATCCAACTGGGTGGAGTAGCTTACACCCATAATCCCAGCACTTTGGGAGGCCAAGGCGGGGGATCAACTGAGGTCAGGAGTTTGAGACATGGTGAAACCTCATCTCTACCAAAAATACAAAAATTAACTGGGGATGGTGGCTTGTGCCTGTAGTCCCAGCTACTTCGGAGACTGAGACAGGAGAATTGTTTGAACCTGAGAGGTGGAGGGTGCAGTGAGCCAAGATGGTGCCACTGCACTCTAGCCTGAGTGACAGGAAAAAAAAAAAAATAGGAAACAGAGGAAAGCAAACAAGTTAGCCAACAGTCCTGATGTGGTGAGACAGACCATGTGCTAGAGAGGCCTAGTGGACTTGTTGCAGGAAGAGGAGGGACAAAGAGAGGTGACAGAGATGAGGGTACCCAACCCAGACTGGGGGATTAAAAACAGTGTCTCATCTGCTCCAGATCAGCCTCCAATAGCCAATGGACAAACGGGCAGGGACCTTCCATTATGTTGATCCATTCCTTTCTTGTGCTATGTAATGTCTCGGCAAGGGTGAGAGCACCATTCTATTTGTACGTGTGCTTCTGTGTGTCTGCTGTCTATGTGCATTTGTTGTGTTGTGTGATGCAAGTGCCTAGGTGACATGTGTTGTGCCTTTGGGTATATCCTGGGATGTCTCTGTGCTTTGGTTGTATTGAGCACATGTCAAGTGTGTTCTCTGGGTGCCATGTGCTAGGGTGTTGTGCTATGTATTCTGCAGTTCTGCATCAGGCAGATGATCCTGGGTGGGCCTGGGCAGAGACTCTCTGGGTGGCCATCAGCCCCCTGCCTTAAATGCATCCCTGGAACGCCTATAAATCATCATCACGCTTTGCTACCTGAAGCAAATTGCCAGGACAAGGCAAGTCCTTCACTCTTCCCTCCTAACACAGCACTCCACCCCCCACATACAAGATGTAAACACAATTAGCGTTTTTTTAAAACCAGTTTATGGAGATATATTTCACAGACAGCCATACAGTCCATCCATTTAATGCACACACAGGTCCATGGCTTTTAGTATATTCACAGTTGTGCAACCATCACTGTAGGCTATAGAATGCTTTCATCACCCTAGAGAAAAAAACCCATGCCCATCAGCCTCATTCTCATTCCCCTCTCTCCTCTAGCCCTAGCCCTAAGCAACCCTAATCTAATTCCTGTCTCTACAGATATGCATACCCTGTTACATTTCATATAAACAGAATTACACGCTATGTGGTCCTTTCTGACTGGCTTCCTTGACTTAGGATAATGTTTTCAAAGTTCATCCATGTTGTAGCATGCATCATTATTTTAATCCTTTTTATTGCCAAATAATATTCCACTTTACAGATGCAACTGCGTTTTATTCATAAACCCATCAATTGATGGACATTGGAGTTGTTTCCGCTTTTTGACTATTGTCAAAAGTGCTGCTATGGACATTCACATATAGGTTTTTGCATAGGTGTAGTTTTTATTTTGCCTGAGTGCATACCTAGGAGTGGAATTTCTGGGTCATGTAGTGACTCTATGTTTTACTTTTTGAGGGACTGCCAATTTTCCAAAATGGCTTTTCCAAAGCACCACGTTGCTTTCCTACCAGGAGTGATTTATTTTTCAGCATCCTCACTAACAGCTGTTAGTTTCCATTTTTTAAGTAGTAGCCATTCTGGTGGATATGAAATGGTATCTTGTGGTTTTGATTTGACTCATTGTTATCAATTTTATATACATTGTTTTTCTATATGTCTTCATATCTGTAATTCATAGGCAGGTATAGGTATGAAGCTTCGTAGAGTTTTATTTTTTGTTTTTTGTTTTTTTTTTCTTCTTTGAGACAAAGTCTCACTCTGTCATCCAGGCTAGAATACAGTGGCAGAATCTCAGCTCACTGCAAACTCCGCCTCCTTGGTTCTAGTGATTCTCCTGCCTTGGCCTCCTGAGTAGCTGGGATTACAGGTGCGCGCCGCCATGCCTGGCTAATTTTTGTATTTTTAGTAAAGACAGAGTTTTACCATGTTGGCCAGGATGGTCTCAAACTCCTGATCTCAGGTGATCCACCTATCTTGGCCTCCCAAAATGCTGGGATTACAGGTGTGAGCCACCATGCCTGGCTGCTTTGTAGGTGTTTAACACACTCATTCCTAACTTACCTTCTGCAACTTATTTCTTCCCTTACCATATTTTAAAAATCTTTCCACATTAGGACAGGCATATCCATTATTCCACAATTTATATCTACTGTAGTTTTCCCGGCAGTCCTCTGTGGATATACATTGAAGTTGCTTCATATTTTCACTGTCAGAAGTAGTGTTTCAATCTAAACATCCATGGACATGTGTCTTTGTGTAAGAGTGTGAGTGATGCAGACTTCCTAGAAACAGAATTGCTGATTCAAAGGAGTAGAATAATTTAAACTGCGGCAGGACTCGCCAGAGTGATGTCCAATGAGGCTGTAACAATTCATACCACCGATAATAACATTTGAGAACACAGACAGTTCTAACTGCTAGATCTGCACACGGTTGCTGTGGGCTTTCTCTGAACGTAATGCATTCCCTTTCATAGGAAGTATATAAGCAGACAATGAACTTGGTGGTGGTCTCTAGAAAATCAATGTCAAAATGTGGCAGGGGATTAAACTTTTTTTTTTTTTTTTTTTGAGACAAAGTCTCACTCTTTTGCCCAGGCTGGAGTGCAGTGGTGACATCTCGGTTCACTGGAACCTCTGCCTCCTGAGTTCAAGCGATTCTCCTGCCTCAGCCTCCCAAGTAGCTGGGACCACAGGCATGCGCCACCACACCTGGCTCATTTTTTTATATTTTAGTAAAGACAGGGCTTCACTATGTTGGCCAGGCTGGTCTCAAACCTTCTGACCTCTAGTGATCCACCCTCCTTGGCTCCCAAAGTGCTGAGATTACAGGCATGAGCCACCATGCCTGGCCAAATTAGACCATTTTTAAGACCACCATTTTTAAGTTCTCTTCCTACTCTGAGAGTTTGTGAGTCTGTGAAATGCCAGGTGGTGAAGGGTTTCCCAACTCACATCTGCTGTCATTTCCACGCAACCCTAGCTTCACAGCATATTCCAAATATAACTGGAGGCCCAAATGGACCAATCTCTGTGCAGGATCAGTTCAAGGAATCTGTAGTCTGACAGCAAA